TGTGTCTTTATCAATTGTAAAATCTCTGTTCCACCTTTCCAGCCAATACAGACCTCGAATATGCTGTTTTGTTAATATTTTATTATCTTCAGGCAGCTTAGATTTCATCAGATGTCTTGATATTGTTAGAGGAAAAATAAAAAGGAATGCTTGTCATAGGTTCACCCAGTTTTCCTTTTCCTTAAAATATATACAGATCCCTGTCTGTCTTGTGTATTCATTTATCCAGCATTTAAAAAATGGAAGCATTCCTATCAGAAATGCTCCTTTTCCAAATATGCTTCTTCAGGTAATTTTTAAAAAGCTTCCTGTTGTTGTTGTTGGGTCAAGTAAATGCTTTCAAGAGAAGAGAAAAGAAATAAGTGTGCATGAGAGAGATAGAGAATGCATGTGTGCATGTGTGTTCATTAAACTTCAGCTGCTCATATTGCTGCATTTAGTTAGCTAAGAGGGTTTCGTAGGTCACCTTTAGAATTTTATGCCTATGACAGCAGTAGCTACCTGCCAAGATTGTGAGGCATCTCACAGCTCTCAGGATGGAGCTTGTGGCCTGGTAGGCCGCAGTTGGAGGGGTACACATTTGCTGTACAGCTGGCGGCACTGTATGGGGCAGCAGTGTGGGCTGTTAGGGAGCTGGAAAGGAGACAAGCATGAAATTTCTTCTAACCCCAACTCTGTTTTTCTATACTGTTGGCTGCTTCTCAGTTCCTTGACAAAAAAACCAATCAGGCACCCTTTAATCCGCCTGTGATTACCAGTGGTATAAAAAGAGAAGCATAATGAGGAAAAATGCCTCGTTTTGTTGCCTTCAAAAGCCAACAAATTGGAGTTAACTTGACAGGAAGTGGCTTAATAATTAGATTATTTATTTATTCCTGACACATATCCCCCTGTTACTAGTCTCAGGAGACCCTGTAGATGGTACGATTTTCAAGCTGCCATTACTTCGCTGTCTTCTGTGAACAAAGAAGCTACTGTCTATCAGTCAATTAAATGCACTCTTTAAGCAGAGGCTGAGAAGTCCTCAATGGAGAGAGCCCTGGGACATTGTGGCTGATGATTCCTTTCTCTGTACTGTACATCACACTCTCAACTATGGTCCCCACAGAGATGGAATAAAGTCATGCATTAAAATATCACTTGTTGATTTGTTTGCTAATGAAGAGCCATTGAAATGTTTGTGTATCTCTGTGGCAAAACTGTTGATAAAAGGACTACTTGCTTGCATATTTTTCTTTGACTTTAGGAAGCACTTATTTAAGGTTTACTACAATTTAGATCCACAAATTAAGAGAAAGGCAGGGAGATTGCTAATGCGGTTGGACTTGTTAGTAATGGCAACATCAGGAGTGTGGAGGACTGAAAAAGGATAAAAGGAGAATGGTGGCATTTTGGGCACGTGCATTTCAGCCATCAGAACACCTACTACATCCCTCTTCTAGTATAGCAAATAAAATACGTCCATGGATTATTGGAGTGTAGCTTGCATCTACACTGGGGATGTGCTGAGCCTTCTTGGAACCCAATTCACACCTGCCCATCAGATGACATCTAGCACTTGTCCCTTGCTGAGGAAGTGAGCTGAGCACAGAGGAAGTCTGTGAGCCTTGTGGATGCCACTGGAAGGCAACCTGTACAGATGTGACACAGCCAGATGTGTATGCACAGCCCCATCCACCCTCCCGATAGCCCCTCTGTCCACCCTCCTGTTCCAGTTATAGTCCATCTGAATTCTGCACAAACCATAGGAGCTTCTGCATCACATGTATGGAAGGACCTCGTTTGTGCATCAGCTGTGCAGTAAGCTGAGGCCTGCTCACCAGGAACTCACAATCATGACTGCCACCCTCCAGATCAGAGTCTGGGAAGCTTAAACTGGGGAATCCAACAGATTTCCCACCCCAAGTGGATTCCTTGCACATCCCTAGTTGAGATGACACAACAAAGTTGCACCCTAGTGCTTATTATTTAAAAAGTGACTGCATACTGCAATTTAAATACACTACTGTGGCTCTTCACTTGATCATGTGAACTAAGTCAGTGCTTTTTAAGGCCAAAGCAGCCCTGATAAAGTACATCAAGCTTCATATCTACAGACATTTTAAAACTTTATTTTATTTATTTACGTATTTACAGTATTTCTCAACTGCTCCACATCCAAACAGTTTCCAGAGTAGTGAACAGTATGACATTGCAACAAACGAATGAAAAAACTACATTAACTTTTTTAAAGAAAAAAAAATGACATTAAGTCCATGGCTAGTCAGCAGAAAGGAGTTTCCAAGAATAACATTTAAAGAGGCATGAAGTGTGGGCTTTTAACTGGATTGGAGTGGTGGAACTGCGTGAGCAGCACAGCCCCTGCTGAATTAACCTTTTCCCCTGTGCTGTTTCCTGTATCTGACATTACTTGCCCAAAGCTGCTATGAACCCATCTGAAAAAGGGTAGGGGGAACAGGCTTCCTCTCTTGTGCCTTTTTACTTCAGGGGATCTAAAAAAAGACATGCATGTGTTATAAGTTTCTGTCACAGAGCACTTGATCTAATTAAAATGGTAAAGCATTTCTTCAAAACAAACTTGAGGGATCAACTTAGTAATGTCCTATGTCGTGTCCGTTTTGGCCTCTATATTAATATAGGAAGATGTAGAATTCATGAAGAACAACATAGCATTGCATGTTTAAGAACATTAGAGAAGATGTTTCAAAAAGGAAATTATGAGTTGATTCTCCTAAGACAGGCAGCTCACCATGAGTTAAATCTCCCTTGCATACCAGCAAAACAAGCAACAGTTAGGCAAGAGTTGTTTAACCTTCAAATAACTCTTGGTGGCTAGGTTTGCATGGCACAGCAACCCTGGCTTGGGCTTATGTATTCAGCCTGCCTGCATGGACTGGGCACACGTCATGACTCATCAGGGGTTTAACACTTGGTCCATCAAGTAATATGATCCATAGCATGCTCTAATATTATTTACATTAGTAAAACTGCAACCACATAGCCATATTACTTGAGAATAAGTCCCGTTCTCAGTAAACTTCTGAGTAAACTTTTTGATATATGTATTTATAATGGTTATACATAATGCAATATCAATATCTGACTGGTTTACATATAGCAGTATTTTAAATCATTGTTTAAAATACATTATTAACAATGGTAACTATAATAACAACAAAAGTAATGTAAAAACAATAAAATAGGGTAAAATGAAAAAGTCTCATGATTAATTAATTAAAATCTCTTGATTTATGATAGAATTACCTTTTAATTAACCATAGTTTAACACTTCATTTAAATTCTAAACTGTGGTTAATCCTAAGTATAGCTTGTTTAAACAAGTCAGCTTTATTACCCATGGTTTTACTTTAGATTGTTTTAAGCAAGCCATAATTAAGATTAATCACAGTCTGACATGTTTACAGGATAATCTGCAATTAATAAGCAACACTTATGCATTCCCCTTCACAGCCATGCCAGGGCAGGAGTAAGACAGAAATCTGAGGTTTGCCATGGCTCATTTTCATCACATTAAACTACAGCTCACTGTGACATCCAAATGCAGTCATAGCTTTTGTGGAAATAATATAATCAAAGCCTATAACCTTGCGATACGTTTTTTTGTTTCATTGGGTTTCAGTTTATGTTACATACTCAGTTGCTGTGAACAAGGTTTGTTTATTGCTTGAGTACGAATTTTTAAATGCTCAATTACCATGTTGATCCCAACTTTCTAAGAAAATCCATCCACTTTGTTTATCACATAGGTGCATTGTTTGGGAAAACAACTGGTAATATGCTCCCTTACTAGATACAGATATTTGTTCAGAGGTTTCCATGTGCATTAAGAATTTTGTTCTTTGAGTGATGTTTCATTTACCTCAAGCAGCTATTTTATCATGGGATACAATCTGTAAAGTCCAAATACAAGCCATAGAAGAGATGTTGCACATTGGCTTGCTCTATCATCTCTCATTTCCCCCACAGCAACTTCTAGCACTGAATCACAAAATAACTTCTGTAATTGAATATATCCTTATAACATTTTCTAATGTGTCAGTTTGATGTTGCAGTGTGCAGCCAAATGCATAAGTACTGTTTCTGTCAGGCGCCATTTCCAGCAAGCACCCCTGACTCAAAGCAGGAGTGCAGAGTGCACAGCCTGCTCTGATTCTGCAATGCTCTTTGTGATTTGTGTGGACAGGCAGGCAACCAGGTGCAGCCTAAAGAACCTTACGCCTGTAAACTTTAGAGATGCATCAGGTGCATGGAAGCAGTACCTCTGATTCCTTAAATTCGGCAGTACCCTAAAAGCCAAATGGCGGATCAGCACTGACAGATCTTTTTCACACATGCAGTAGGGACATTCTTGAAATGACTGTGTCCTGTTTAAGCCACTTTGTACACCCCATCTTGACTGCTGGGCACACTACATTTTAATTTCCTCAGATGGGAGAAAAGTGGGGGCAGGGGGGAATCACAGATAGTATAACCTCAGTGATTCACGCCATTCTCAAATTAAGGCATTCCTTTTTCCTATCCTGTTATTCCAGTTCATTTTCTTAGAAAAAGTTTAGGCACTCTGGTGTTCTGTAATAGAAAAGGAATTTGAAACCCCTTCATTAATTGGTGATTAATATATATCAGGATTAGTTTAAGCAAGGCCCTACCTCCTGCCCAGTCAAGTATGTTCTGGTTAATATCCAATTACATGCACCTTCGTACTTATTATGTCTTAATATTTTGGATATGATAATCAGAAACTTGAGGGTAATGCTAATGAGGAACATAGAGCAGAAATTAACCAGTGACATACTCAATGATCCTTACTTTGAAAAGTATTTCCTCTTCTCTGTTCCACATAATGGTAAGCCAGTACTTTGACACAGCACACTGGATATTAATTATTTTGTGAGGATTGTTTCCTATCTTTTTACCTTTTTTGTTTAAGAAAATGCATTTGCCTAATCTCATATGGAACATTTGCATTGTACACACAGAACAGGCAGCCAGTTCGGGCAGCAGCAGTAAGAAGATGCTGGACCTCACCAAATCTGTTAAGTGAAAGTATTAATGTTAGCTATGATTTATAATAACTATAACTCCACTTTCGTCTATGGTACCTTGGATTGATGCTTAGTTCACCTCCTGCCAGGTGGCTTGGATACCTTTCTTTCCCATCCTAGGATCTTACTTGTGTTGTCATAGGCACCATCCAATCAAAATCTAGCTTACCATTTGTGGGAAGCATTGCGGATTCTCACCAATTAGGCTGAGAGGTTTACATGCTAAGAAATAGTATCCCTCCCTCCCATATCACAAGGAATGTCTAGGTTGTTGTCTGATTGATTTGATGGTGGATGTACAGTACTCCCAAATCACTTGGTGAAACTCTTCATCACACCATTCTCATTATTATTTCTTTCTGGTACTATTTTGAGTAAAAGTTGCTGTTTTCATGAACATCTCTTTTTGCCTTTCTTTTCAATCTCTATTACATAATGTTGCTCTTGTAACCTTTTCCCAGCCCGCTCAATCAAATGTCTCAGCAAAAAGAATTGTTAATTTTTGACATTTCTTTTATTTTTCTAAATAGCTGGCAGTCTTATTTTAACCTTAAAAAAAAAAAAAAAAAACTTTGGCACACTGCAAACCTACTCTTCATATAGGAATTCTTGAATGGTTTGGAATGTTACGTACCTGCAGATTAGGCATCATGTCTCCTCCTTTACTAATATCCTCGCCCATGCCTTGGTCTCTTTTCAAATATGACCTTCTAAAATCTCAGTTTAGCAGTGCCTGTAGTATAGCACGACTGGGATGCAGAAGTCTTAGTTGTACTTCTGGATTTTATATTGATTCATCCTGTGGCCTTGAACAAGTCTCCTAACTCTTAATTTTGCAAACGGGATAATACTTAACCACATGGGGTTTTCCCAAGGAGCAATCATTTAATGCAAGAAAAGTACTATGAATATAAATCAGTGCAATAATGGAATAAATACTAAATATTGAATTTTTTTATGGTTGAGCAGGATTTTGTTCCTTAACCCACAGTTTACTATATTTTCTTTATTACATCCTTCCAGAAATGCTAGAAAGCTAAACCAAAAATCACCAGTTTTGGGATGAGCCCACAATAACTATAGTATATCTGCCAAAGCTTACCAGAATAATGCATTGTTTTACAACAATCAGGAGACACTCCCATCATGTGTATGGATATATATATATATGAACAAAGGTAACTCTTAAAACCTCCCTTTCAAGCAGAATGAGGACAAATTTTCTTCCCCCAAGAATCTAGTCTTCTGTCAGTATCAACAGCACTGTAGATATAAGAACCATTCTCTGCAGTTTCAAACATTCTGTCTGAAATCCACCAAATGTTACATTTTGTCCAAACATATCTCCCCTAAGAATTTCTGTGTTAAGGTTTAATGTATCGCTTCTCCCCATCAAGTTTCTCCATCCCTTTAAATAACTAGACCGTTTGAGAACAGATTGTTGAAATATTGTTCATTTCATTCTTTGCATAAGAAAAATCCTTTATGAAGCTGTTGTCCTAGGTCAATACTCATGATGGCTGGTGCTGCAAATCATGTAGCTTTAAATAGCAAGCCTGAATATTTCTCCACCCCATCCCCTTTATATGCTTTGTTGTAATGAAGCAACATCAGTAAATTGCATTGAAGGGTGATGGTTGCATGGGGATGACTACTACACCTTGGGGTCCCTTTGTACCATATTATTTTTTATTGTTGTTATTACTTCCCATCTCCTTTATTCTCTTGATGCCAAACTTGCTGTAGAACATCACTGTAACACAAGAGATCTTCGGGAATGTTGTGAACATTTTTGCTTCTCTGCACACCAATCAGTTTACTTCAAACTTCTGGTATCCTGTCATACTTTATTGATGTTGCTTTAGCTTTGCTGCCTATACTCATAATATTATTCATCATATGTTGTTTAAAAGAAATGCTTCTGGTAAAACCATCTCAATATATAGTAGGTATAATTAAGCAGAGGGGGAAGTTTCCATGACTTTCTCTTGAATTTGGGTTCTAAATAGAATCATTAGTTTATAAGTATTTCCTGATTACTCTTTTTCACTCTTTAGAAAAACTTGTATTATAAACACAGTTTAAATGACACTACAAACCTTTGCTTATATTTCCCACCAAACTTTCCATTCCAAATCCACTGTTTTGTTTCATTTTAGATTTCCAGTTATTTGAAAATAGTATTTGGAAGTGAAATGAAAAGTTGCCATTGTGCTGAAGTATCTTTAGAAAACTTTGATTTTGTATGATGTTTGTTTAAAATTAACATTCACTCTGTTTATATTCTTTTAGTGTAAAAGCATCAGAACAAGTTGAGAATTTAGTCCATGAATAAGTTTAGTGGCTTGAGTTACCTAGGGATGAATATTACTGACCCATGGCAGGGTGAGTTTTAAATGCATAGGAAAGAAGTTACTGTTGGTTGAATTGGTCAGGTATGTCAACAAGTTGATTTGCAGTTACAAGTTCTAAAAAGGATGTGATTGGTCAGCAAATCCAAAAAAGTTCAGTAAGAGTCAGTTGCAGAGAAGAATTAATGGTTCTTGGCTGAAGGGAGTGTGCTCAGAGATAAGGAAGAATAAGTCAATTTTATTTGTGGGAACCTTCTGGAATATCTAGATATTGGCACTAGTGGCTCACACAGAAATCCTAGGGCCCCTAGACAATGTCTGAGGGGCTATATGATATTTCAGTTTCCCAGTTCCAAGGTTAGAGATTCAGCCTTGGAAGAGGGAACTGTACATTCAGCCTTGGAAGAGGGAATTGTGCCCACCCTCCCTCTGACAGCTGGAGTGGAAAGAACAATGGCAGTTGTTCTCTGAGGTCAGGAAAGTACACTCAGAGAGGGGCTGAAAGGGTTATTCCAGTAGGAAGGGAAGGATTTTGGCAGTTCTATTTTCTATCCCATTCCTAATTAAGTATAGCATAGAATTTATCTTTTTTGCAGCAGTCACTCACTGATCCTACATTTTCATTGACCTGTCCACTCATCCCCCAAGATCCCTTTCTTGCTCAGTCACTGCTAGTTCCAGTTCCATCTCTGTATACTTGAAGTTAGGATTTTTTGCCCCCATATGCATTACTTTACACTTGCTTATACCAAACTGCATTTGCCATTTTGATACCCATTCTCCCAGTTTGGAGAGATCCCTTTGGAACTCCTAACAGTCCCTTTTGATTTTAACCATTCTAAAAAGTTTAGTGTCATCTTGGCCACTTGGCCACTTCACTACTGACTCCTAATTCCAGATCATTTATGAATAGGTTGAAAAGCATTGGTCCTAATACAGAACTCTTCGGGATTCCACTGGTGACATCTTTCCATTGGGAGAAATTGTCATTTATTCTCACTCTCTATCTTATGTTCTTTAACCATAAGAGGACCTCTCCTCTTCTGCCTTTTATTCCATGAATGTTTAGTTTGCTCAGGAGCTTTTGTTGAGGAACTTTGTCAAAAGCCTTTTGGAAGTCCAAGTAAACCACCCACTAGATGCCCACTTAATTGGGGATCATGCACTTAAGGATGGTGATCAAGGATATTTAAGTACATTTAAGCAATTCAATGTTACTATTTTATAAATACACTATTTTTGCCTTGCATATCTATAATACCCTTAATGAATAGCTTTGCTTTTCTTCTCTCTAATGGCACATTCAATTCCATGCTTACACCATACCTGGGGAACTTTAAAGGACAAGGGGTTGATTTTGCATGTGGCAGTGCTTAAAGATTTTATAGCAGAAGTTACCTTGTAGCAAGGAGTTTCATACACCCAAGTCTTAATGTTTAAAAATGGAAATAAGGGCAGGAAAACCTATATGAATTTTCCACATTTGGAGACATAGATGAGGTCAATCACAGGGTCCCTCCACATCTTTCTACATAGGAGATTGACACATGATTTTGTTGATTTGTATGGTAACCAGTCCACCCATTGAGGCAGACATGTGGAGTCTTACTACAAGAGAGTGATTTTGGAAACAACAGCATCACAGTGTTACTGTATGATTTGGGCTTCAGTAAGAATTTCAATTAACACCCTCATATTGAAGCAAAAGTAAGAAATAGATACGTTTGAACCAGCAAGGTAGATGAAGGTAGTACCAGAGAAGCCACAACATATACAATTAACACACAACATATGACAGATTTTATGGCATGATAAGTTTGACATTTGCTGCATTTTATCTTAAATGTTGCAGAACATTAAAGCAACAAATATTTACGTCTTTTTCAACAAGTTTCATACTTACTTCAAACATAATAGGTAACATTTCAACAATTTTGTGATTGGAATCTCTAATAAGGCAATCCAAATATAAGTGTACATCTGTGCAGATACCAAGGTACACATATACCTAGTGACCTGCTTTGAACCATTTCAGCTATGGTGGCTTATTAACGCTGCCATTTGTGTTGGCTGTGTGCTGCACAAATTCTTCTCATTACCATCCCTGGCATTGCCTGTCATGTCATCCAAACCTGGCAGCATGACTGAGAGGACAACAAGTCTCAAGTTTCCCATTTAATGATGTTGGATTCTTTGGAGGTTATTGCCCCCCACCACACACACACACAAAAGTCATTCTGCCCAGTTCATATGATTTGGCAAATTGCCAGTGAGAACAATTAGGGGAATCTAGAAAATGGTACACATAGCAAGGTAAATAAATTCTTTTGTTTCCTTGCTGTGATCACATGAACCACCCCACTGTCTTCCTTAGCCTATATATGGCAGTAGAACGATTAGCCCCAGTCTTCAATCTTCCCAGTGATTTTAGTAGTTTACCTTATTCTCAAGTGTAGAGCAGCTGTAGTTATTTTGCAGCCCATGAACCATACTCCTACACCCATAGACCACATAGTAAGTTAAACTGAGATGATTCAAGATGCAACTGATTTAACGAAGAGACCTGCACTGAACAGGAGGTTGGAAATCCATGCCCTCAATGGGCCTCTGGCCCCTTCCAATTCTACTATTCTAAGATTTCATAATACAAAGAAATGTTAAATATTTAACAGCAATATTTTATCATGTGTTATCCCTACTGAGAAATGTGAATAGTTGGGATGAAGTACAGATTAAAATAACACTTAAAATTGTAACCTCATGTGCTTTCAGTTCATATGGAGAATCACTTAGTAACTCATAGATTGCCATGATGGTATTCCTAAAGGTCCCTACACTTGTTAGGATTTTAGGGCACAGTCCTATCATGAAACCTGTAAGTCCCTCAACTTGGAGGCTTACAGGCATCCTGTGCAGAGCAGGAGGAGTGATGGAAGCAATTTGTACCTCCTCATCCTCCCACTTCTCATGAGCCATTCTTTCATCCATTCATAGGCCACAGACTGCTTTCCTTGCAAAAGTGTTCTAGGTTGACCAAAAATGCACTGATCACCCAGAATGAATCTTTGAGCATGCACAAAGTGGTTTGTTGAACCCAATCTAGTATTCACTTCCAGGAACTCTCCTTTTGAGCATGCCTGGGCCCCACCCCTTTGGGAGGTACATTCTGAAAGTGAGCATGCCTCTTCTCCATGTGCCGATTGTCTAATTGGACCTCCCACTTCTGCTGACACCTCATCATGGGGTCAAGCACTTGGGCTGCCAGGGCTGAGTCTGAGAAATTCCCATGTTCAGGGTTCAATATTCCCAGGAACTGTCTCCCCACCTGAAGTGTCTGGCCTTGAAATAAGCACTTCTGCTTCTTTCATCCCAATGTCTTGGTAGGACTCATACTGCCAAATTCCCTTCCCTTCTTCTTCATATTCCGATTCTGATTCTAATGGATCACAGCCAGCAGTCCCTGAGAACATATGCCCAAAGCAACTATCCTTATCATTATGCTTACCTTAACCTTGTATCACGGCCTTTCCTGTCTCCTTTCCCACCCTTCCCCTTTGCTTTAGTCCAAGGTGACTTTCCCATTGTCTGAGAACTGTTCTGTCTGTGCTAGTTGTGAGGGTGCAGGGCAACATGTATAGGAACTCCATTTTCCAGCTCCAGGATCAGAATGCTGTCTCCCATTTTGCATCTGAAAATCTGAACTATTATTTGTCTCTTTAGATGCTACCTAGGTGCCATAGGGTTATTCCAACATTTTATTTATTTATGGTGTTCTAAGATGTTCTAGGTAGCTAAAAAGCTAGGCAACTCCTGCATGAAAATGAGAGCGCAAAGAAGTGTCTCATCTGTGTTACACAGAACAATACAACAGAATGTTGGAGATCAGGGCACCATGCAATTATTGTGAATAAACTGTGTGTAAAGACATCCAACCTGTTTGTTCCCACATTGCTCAATTTCACCAGGATGACTGTTAAACAATCCAAGAAAAGATGTAATTGTCATTCAGATTTGGGATCACGGACTCCCCACTCCCAGACTAACTAAAACTCATAAATCAACAACACACACATAACATGTGTGAGCCTGAGTAGCAAAGAGAGTGACATGATGGACAACATCCTGAACAAACATTTCCTGCAAAGCAACTGCAGGTAGACTGCATGCAATATGCACAAGCCTTACATTATAAACAAAGATCTGCAATCCTAGTTTGCTGTTTTGCATGAACATGGCCAATTCTTATCTTCAGTACCAGCAGAGGTTCTAGTGGCTTCAGGAAGAGCAGTGACCCTAGCATTGGTAACCATGATTGGACCCTTTTCAGTAGTATAGTATAACTTGAATAGTAATCAAACAAAAGCATAATTTGTGCACAAGTCCCAACACTAAGATTACACAGTTTTGACTTCATGCATGATTAAAGCAGCACCTTCTATTTAAAGAACTATGTTTGTTGGTCTGTTTTTTCTCAGTGAACTTATTAGACTGTCATCTCTTTTGGTGAGTCAAATTAAGCATTAACAGAGTACAAGCAAATTTATACTTAGAGAGTAATCTGAATTTTATCCTTCTCTTATGTACCATACAAGAATTGCCCATTGCTAGTCAGCTGTTTTTCCCCAGTTCTCCCAGCAAACAGTGAGAATGTGCAGAGTTTAAACAAAAAGGAGTGGGAAAAGAGCTGACATAGACCCCTAAATAAGCTATCATGTCTAAAACAGCTTCACCAATGACGCCAGTTCCAT